TTCAGCGCCGTGTGTGACAGAATGCAGTTTCAGAAGGATTGAAGTATTCACCTACAACATTTTCATCAGCATCAGTTTATTAATAGTGGTTTTATTGCTGAAGGAAGAGGATCACCCTGTATATTGGTACATTTGATTTTTCTTATGTTTATATCCCTTTTCTAGGTGAAAGAACTCTCATAGTTACTTATGTTTACATGGAACAAAATTGTGATGTCCCGACGCTAGAAGTACGAGCCGTGACATCCTATTTGGCCGGCGCCGGAGGATTCCCGCGCGTTCTGCATAACGTGGCGCAGCTGCCCCTAAAACTAGTGGCATTTTTCAGCACTCCAGCAAAAGAAGCAGACTTCAAAGTTACGCTCAACACAAACCAACCAGTAGTAAACCTCGCACAACTTTTCCCGGGTAAGTGAATGAGAAAATCGAAATAATTTTCTACAGCGTACAGACTCCTTTCACTTTGCAGAAGTTTATCTGCCAGTGCCGAAATGATTTAAGGAAGAAGAAGAAGATTAAGTTAGTCGTGAATTTTCGTGTTCGTCGTTGTGCAGTGCAAGTTTATGTTTTGTTCATTATGTTATTCTTACTGCGTTGAAATTATGATTTAGACAGCACGTATGTCCGAATCCGGCCGTTCATTGTGACGCCCCTCATTTCTCGTAAATGTGGATACGTCTAGGAGAGTCGACACCTCGATTTAATTTGATGCGCCGTCATTTCTCCATTGTGGAAAAACTTTGCGTTTAATATTTTAGATTCGTCCGCATTAAAATGACCGTTTCCATTCGCAGAGTTTGCTGGTGACGGTGCCCTGTCTGGCGCGAGCAATGCGGCTGGGTTCCAGTGTTACGGAGGGAGAGGCTCCGTAGTGACCATTCTGGCCGCTAAGTCTTCGCAGCGCTACCGTCTGCAGTGTGATGCGCTGCCCCTGCTGTAGCTAGACGATTTGTTATTCCTCAGATCAAGGTTGGAAAAATGCCATTAAAAGTTATAAATAATAAGATACATGCAGGTCGCATCGATCTTATCTAAACCTCGCTCAAGGTGTATCTTTTCCTTCGGGTCTTCTGAGTAAAATTTTATATCAAATTCTCCGTTCCCATGATTTATACATGCCCTAGTAACTTCTTTCTCATTGATTTGATCTCTCGTGTTGAATTTATCACTCGTTTGCGTGCCTTTTTTGCTGCTACGTTTGATAACGACTGATATATTTCTTCGCAGCTGTCTCGTTAGCAAGTACGGCTGCAGAGCGAGAAGTGAGAGTAACACTAAGTGTTAATTCACAATTGGAACCGTGTCCGTTTCCGCACAATATTAATGAGGAGGGAATAGAGATTCCCATGTGCCGAGTATCGGTGGAGCTGTCTCCTCACTCCGCGCTGAGCAAGGTGCAGGTGTCCATCGTCGCTCAGCCGCCACTGACCGTGTCGCAAGCGTCTCACACCATCAGCAGCTTGTGTGAGTTACACGCTGTTATTTTTGTGTGTCTGCTAAATCTTGACTTAATATTGTGAATGCTGTACCATTCTGTGTTGAATTTGGTCCTCGTGGCCTGTGATTTTGAATTATGAATTGTTTTTGTCTGTTTCTGTACAGAAATGTCGTTAGCATTTATCATCTCCCTCATGTGTGCTACGTGCCCTTTCCATCCTATTTGCCTCTACCTGATAACGTTTAGTGAAGATTTTAATGATGAACCTCTGAAGCTCCTCGTTATGCCGATTTCTCTTCCCTCCTGCTACTTCCTCTTTGTTAGGTCTAAATATTTTCCTCGGCACCCTGTTCTCACACGCCCGTAATACGTCATGGTGATCCGATGTAGATCCGTGCGTCAGTCCTTGTTAAACTGCATCCTATCACAAAATGTACACAAAGTTGTCTCCTGTAGTAACTGCGCACAATTGGACATGGCGATGCACGCAGCGTAACGTGCGCCAGAATGGCCGAGATCTATTGACAGACGTCGATAGCGCGGGGCTTGCCCACGGAGACATTTTTCTTTGGTACACTCCACAGGAATACCCGGCAGAGTTAAATCTGGCAATCATTTTTGTCAGAGGTCTTTTCAGATAAC